CCTGTGCGCTCTCAGACCGCCCTGGTCCTCTGTGGCCAGCCGGGGCCTAAACTGGTTCTCCCACGCTAAGTCCGGGGGAGGGGGAGGTATAGATACCTGCCTGGTTTCAAAGATGCGACTGAGCCCGTGGGCTGAGGAGGAGCACCCGAGAGCAGGCTCCAAGGCTCTGGCTCAGGGCGGGCCCCCAGCCAACCGGCCCTGGCTTGAATGAGTGCCCAGTGGCCTCACCCAGCCTTGCCCCAGGCTGCAATGAGAACCCCAGGGTGGTTCCCGGTCAGGCTCTCAGCACTGCCGCTGCCTACAACATCCCCTCTCTTTTGCCCAGATTTTGTGCTTTCACTGCTGGCTCCCTAACCGAGGGCTGGCCCTGGAGTCAGGCCTCATCTGCCACCCTCTACCCCATTTGACCCCACAGGGCTTTCCCTCCCCTGCTAAGGTGCACATACTGTCCTTTGCATCTGCCCCCTTAAATTTTCATTCATTCTCCCAGCATCGGCAGGAAGGCTGAAAGATGTTTAACAGACCTTTCAGGCTAAGTGGCAAATGACAACCAGAACACAAATCATTTCAACTGCACCGACCAACTTCAAGGCCCCACTGAATATTAAAGACAATAGAGCTGATGGGTTAAGAGGCACTTAATAAAGTGTCTTGGCTGAGTAAATGTTGAAAGCTTGAAACAATCTCATCTCTGGCAAAGTTACACAAGCGGTGAACTTCAGCTAAATGAGCAAGACACGGTGGGACTGGGGCTGACTCACACACATTCAGAAACATGTGCTTATTCTTCTTCATCTGGATAAACTTGATTCTTTCTGTGCTGCTGTTCCTGGAACAAAATAAAAATTCTTACAGCTACCAGTGTGCCCGTTTCATGTCTCACTCGTGGGATGGAAAGAATGAAGAACGGACTGCAGAAAAGTACTGGCAAACAAAGGCTTAAGTGAAACAGCCGGCTTTATTGCTGGGGTGATGGGAATTTTTTGTTCTTAATTATGTAGCCAATTCGGGTTCCTTGTAGAAAAACTGGAACATACATAAAAGGAGCAACATTCCCAGGATGATGATGATATTAACAGCAGCAGCTATGGTAAATGTACTGCTTCCAGGTACCCTGGGCCCGCACCTTCTGATCTGTTCCCTTCCTCTTTCTCCAGAATCCTGAAATGGAGGCACTTTTACCAAAAGAAGGAAAGCGGGAGGATTAAGAATACAGGATTCTTATTCTGTGAGAGTGACTTCCTCAGGGTTGACATCTTGGTTTGACGACTTGGTAAGCAGGTGACTGAACCTCTCCACCTCTGTTCCCTCATCTGTAAACTGGGAATCACACAAGCATCCCCGGGGGACTGAAGTGAGAATTAAATCTAAAACTGCACATAAAACATTTTAAGGGACTTCCCTGGAAGCCCAGTGGTTAAGACTCTATGCTTCCAATGCAGGGTGTCTGGGGAGGTTTGATCCCTGGTAGGGAAACTAAGATTCCACATGCAGTGCAGTGTGGCCAAAAAAAAAAATATATATATATATATATATATATATGCATGTATGTATGTATATTTATGCATTTTTTACCTACAGTATAACACAGGGAACTCTGCTCAATGTTAAGTGGCAGCTGGGATGGGAGACGAGTCTGGGGCAGAATGGATGCATGTATATGTATAACTGAGTCCCTTTACTGTCCACCTGAAACTATCACAACATTGTTAGTCAGCTATACTCCAATATAAAAGAAAAAGTTAAAACAAAGCAAAAACAACAAAAACATTTCAGCACAGTGCCTGGCAAAATAGTAAGCTTTTAGTGTTAACGCTCTGCATTTTGACAGCTCATGAACTGATTTGGTAAGGGTAAATTAAGCACCCAAGCTCACAACTTAACCAGCATTAGTACTGGCCATTAACCTAACTGCCTCCAAGGCAGAGGAGTAGATAGCTATTTCATAATTAACAGAGGATCTCAATAAATATGAAAGCAACAAAATATTCCCTGCCTTGTGTTTTAATGGTATCAATGATCAACTTTTTGATCCTGAAGCAGTTGCGTAATTCACAGGACCCACATAAGAATCAAGATGCAAGGCCCCTTCTTCAAAAGAAAACAGTAAGACTTTCCAGATGATAACAGAGCATTGAACCAAGCATGAGCCACTTCTGAGGACAGGGCCCTGTGCAACTGTCGAGCCTGCACACCGTGAAGCCAGCCCCATCTCCACCCCTTCAAAGGCCAAAGTTTCAGGATTGCAACTGGATTGCATGGTCATGACAGTCCAACTTCCACAGTCAAGATGTTTTTTCTGAATACACTTCAACTATCTCTCCCCTAGAGAAAACAGAATCTTGTGGCATGATCTACAGTGATAACAGATAACAAAGTCAAAATCAGATAATTAGCAACGATGTGTATTCTTTCTTGACCTCGACACTCAAAGGCACTAAGGATCAATGTATCCCAGGACTATTTTGCTGCAAAATTAGAATGTGCCAATCACCAGTGTCATTAATGTTTTTCAAGGTAAGCGGCACAGAGAACTTTCAATGAACATTTCTATCACAAGTTGCAGGAAAAAGAAATAATTCAACCATGCCACATTTTAGATTACAAACCAAGACTTTGTTCTTATCGACTGAGTTTTTCTATAAAGAAAGACGATGCTTCATTTTAACTCTCTTCCTCACCTCCCATGAACAGAAAGCCTGATGTTTTCTGAAGCTGGTACTGAACGTGTGTGTGGTTCAATGATGATGCTGAACCACTCTATCAGATAGGATTTTAGTTTTGTGACTTTCCTTGTACTTTATCTCAGTATTTCACAAGAAGCTGTGAGGCTCCGATACTGAGGAAGTACAGAGGCAAAACACAGCAGGCCTAAAAACAAAGATTGTCTGGTCATTTTTAAAGTGTCTAAGGTGAGACTTAACGCCGAGAACAAAACGATGGCGGATTCCCTCTGAGCTATGTCTAGTAAGAGAAAGGGAACTGAATCATCAGGTATACTGTGATGCCTAACTGTTGAATCATTTACTCTGGGGGCATGATCTAATTAGGCACAAGGACTCTTACGACAAAAGTTTATTCTGCGTGGACAGGGATTTTAAAAGAAAAAAGGGCAACTTTTAACTTCCAGTGGGAGCTCAGCAGACTTAAAAGAAAGATGGCAGAGTACAAGAACACACTTAGGGCTTCCCTGGTGGCTCAGTGGTAAAGGATCCGCTTGCCAGTGCAGGAGACATGTATTAGATCCCTGAGCAGGGAATATCCCACATGCCGCGAGGCACTAAGCCTAGGATGCACAACAACCTAGCCTTGCTCGACAGCCCAGGAGCCGCAAACACTCAGCCCCTCTGAGCCGCAACTGAAGCCCACTCGCCTAGAGCCAGTGCTCTGCAACAAGAGAAGCCACCGCAATGAGTAGGCCCGGTTCACCACAACTAGAAAAAAGCCCAGGCAGCAGTGAAGATCCAACACAGCCAAAAAGAAAGAACACACTTAGCAGTAACTGTTCATCAAGTATGGGGGGTGTGGGGGGGAATGCGGACCTCGCTCAATTTTTGCAAATCAGAAGAAAACCAATGCTCTCATTCGTCTAGAATTTCTTGACAATTAGAGCATCAAATTTGAGCCATTCAAAAACCAGAACTTTAACACGCTAGATAAAATGAAATCAACCAGAACAATTACACGAGGTAATTACAAGTCTCTATCCTAACTGCTTGGTGCTTCCCCGGTGGTTCAGACTTAAAGAATCTGCTTACAGTGCAGGAGATCTAGGTTCGATCCCTGGGTCGGGAAGATCCCCTGGAGAAAGGAATGGCCACCCGCTCCAGTGTTCTTGCCTGGAGAATTCCAAGGACAGAGGAGTCTGGTGGGCTACAGTCCAAGAGGTCGCAAAGAACTGGACACGACTGAGCGACTAAAACACACACACACACACACATCCTAACTGCTAAATTTGTCGGTTTGTAACTTGAGGGTACCAATACCTCCCAGAATCACTGTGCTGCTTTGAAGACATCTTGAAGACAGCTTTCTCAAACAAGATGTTACTGACATTTTTCGAAAAACAAATCTTAACTGGGGAGGGGGATGTCTTACACGCATGTCTTATAGGATACTGAGCAGCCTCTGTGGCCTCTACCCATTAGATTCCAGTAACACCCACTCCCCGCGCGTGTAACAAACAAAAATGTCTCTATTAATTACCAGATGTGTGGGATGGAGGAAATCACTTCCAACTGAGAACCACTGCTTATAAAGCTGGGAATAAATAAAAAAGGAATCAAAGCACTTTAGAACAGGAAGTGATTTTAAGGATGCTGTGCACCAGCGATTCTCAAACTTTGATGTATATCAGCCTCCCTGGGGAGCTTTTCTTGGGCATCACCCCAGACCTATTGGTAACAGTCAAGTACAGAATTTGCCCACTTGGGTATCAACACCCTCATTCCACAAAGAAGAGGACGTGGGTCAGAGAGGGAAAAATGCCTTGCCCAAGGTCACAGGGCGAGTTAGAACCTGGACTCCAAACCCAACCAAGCCCTTCCTGACAAAAAGAATGGGTGGGGTGAGAGGTGCGTGTTGTTCACACATTTTGGAGAGAGGCAGGCGTAACTGGTTAAGACGGAGCACGCTGGAGCCAGTTGGCCAGAGTTACAATCTCGATTTGGTGTTTACTAGGTAAGCGACCTTGCGTAAGGGACATAATCTCTGAGCGCCTCAGTTTCCTTCTCTGTAAAATGATAGGATAGTACCTACCTCCTAGGGCTGCTGGAAAGGTTAAGAGGGAGGATGTATGTAAAACCTTCGACACACGGCCTGGCACACACTAAATACTCAGTACACATCCTGCTGTTATTATTATGGTCCCTCGATTGCTGAGTGGAAGGGGACGGCGGTGCCCCGAGGGTAGAGGGCTGGAGATGGGCTCAGGGAGGCGATACGATCCCCGACTCCCCGGCTCCTCTCGCCGGGGGAAGACCCCCGCCTCACCCCCTCACCTGGTCCCGCAGCTCCTTCTCCAGCTGCCGGTAGTCGTTGTTCCAGACCAGGAGGTGCAAGGGGAAGTCTCCGCTAGCGTCGTGGGGCGAGGACATGGCGAGGGAGGCCGCAGCCCGGCCCTCAGCGCCCACCTGACAAGACTCAGCCCCCGGTGGGGGTCTCCGGCGCCCGCCCGCCGGGCGGCCGGCGAGCGAAGAGAACCAGGCGAGCGAGCGAGCGAGAGGGCGCGGTATGCGGCAGGCCGGCCTAGCGGCCGGGTGGAGGGCACGCGCGGGAGGTCGGGGGGTCGCGCGCCGGGTCGGGGACGGGGGTCGGCCGCGCCCACCCTGCGCCCCGCGGCGCTCCCGCCCGCGCTGACAGCTCGCAAACCGACTTCTGCGGGCCGAACTGCCCCAAACAGGGAAGTGCGGAGAGCGGACCACCGCGCGCCGCGGCGTGGGGGGAGACGAGGCTAGCCACCGGCCCGGGGTCTGCCCAACCCCACCCACCTCCGACCCCACACCGGGAATCACAGCATCATACATAAAACAGAAATAAAACTCTCTTGCTTAGCCTAGGATCTCGACCTGAAAAACTCGATCTAGCCTTTATCATCCTTTTTACCCCTGCCCCAGGTCCCTCATATGGTTCGGTCCACAACTGGGCCTCTTCCATCGGCTCTGCGGTCGGGGGTAGGGGGGGTGACAACAGGCTCCTGGACCAAACCATTCTAGTTCCTGACTCTCTTGCAGCCTTTTTGGACCTGAGCAGATGCTGCCACGATTGGTCAGGAGCCATTTTGGAAGTGGGCAACACCAATCAATTTTCAAGTAGGCATGATAAACTCTTGGAGAAGTGGCGTTAAGTACTTGCCTGATGAGAGGGTGGTTCTAGTTCAGAGTTTCTCAACTTCAGCACATTTGAACCACATAAATTTGATTTATTTGTCTTTGCTGTTCTGGTAACTTTTTATTTTTTACTTTGGATTTACTTTTATTTTTTATACAGTTTTTAAAAGTTGCTTTCCATTTACAGTTTTTACCAAATATTGGTTATATTCCTGGTATTGTACAATACATCCTTGAGTCTATGTTACACCCAGTAATTTGTGCCTCCCATTCCCCCACACTTATATTACCCCTCTCTCCACTGGTAAGGACTAGTTTGTTCTCTGTATCTGTGAAACTGCTTCGTTTTTGTTATGTTTACAACTTTGTTGTAATTTTTAGATTCCACGTGTAAGTGATATCATACTGTATTTGTCTTCCTCTGTCTTATTTCATTTAGTATAATGCCCTCAAAGTCAATCCTTGTTGCTGCAAATGGCACTTTCATTCTTTTTTTCATGACTGTGTTGAGTACCATTGTAGAATGCTACATACTGAGGGAACGTACTGCAACATAAAAAAGACCGTATATGCCAAACCCACAGCTAACATCATACTGAAGGGTGAAAAGCTGAAAGCATTTCCTCTTAAGATCAGGAGCAAGGATGCCCACTCACATCACTTTTATTCAACATAGTTTTGGAGGTCCTAGGCACAACAATCAGAAGAAAGAGAAATAAAAGGAATCCGAATTGGAAAGGAAGGTAGGACCCACATAATACTTTATGTGGGGATGTTGGGCAGAAGGGAGAAGGCAATGGCACCCCACTCCAGTACTCTTGCCTGGAAAATCCCATGGACGGAGGAGCCTGGTAGGCTGCAGTCCATGGGGTCTGGAAGAGTTGGACACAACTGAGTGACTTTACTTTCACTTTTCCACTTTCATGCATTGGAGAAGAAAATGGCAACCCACTCCAATGTTCTTGCCTGGAGAATCCCAGGGGTGGCAGAACCTGGTGGGTTGCCATCTATGGGGTCGCACAGAGTTGGACCCGACTGACGCGACTTAGCAGCAGCAGTAGCAGTTGGGCAGAATCCCCACCATTTCTACCCACTAGATATCAGTAACACTCCCACCAAAATGTCTCCAAATGTCCCCTGGAGGAGAAAAATTCATACACACACCCCCACCCACTTTGAGAAACACTCTTCCGCCACAACTCAAAACTGGGTTATGATTCAAAGTTACCTAAGTTGCTGGTTTATTCCACATACGAGTGTCCTTTATTTTTGAATTTGGGGTTATGGCCGAAAGGACTAATAGATAATACACTTGACCACAGTCAGCCAAACTTAAGTTCATCCTTTGGGTTTCAACCTGAGACACTATAGCTCCTTGATTCAATGAAGAACCAATACAACTCACGGCTGCTCGCCAGCCTGAGCTTTCTGCACAGCTGTCCAAAACTAGACCGCATAACCAGGCAAAGTTATTTGATGCATCCTGAAAGCATACCCTCTGCCTTCTCTGCTTGTGGACATCAGCTTTTCAGACGCCTGCAACAACAGCTGTTCAAGAATCCTGGCCTAATCCTTTCTCCACACATGTTGAGGCCAGAAGATTTGTGAGTCTGTGAACCAAAACAGGATGCAGGAGCATCAGGATGGAACCCAGAGGCTCTAATTGTGGAATGTGTGGGATTTATGTGGTTATGCCCACACCACACATTTATAAAAATGGAGAGATGAACCAAAGACCAGTGCTCCTGAGACCCCTTCCAGGACTTATCCATTCAGAAGTCTCAGGCAATTTACTCCTCTGCCTTGTCATCTTTCTGTATTTATTGAACATTTCTCTTAATTTATTAGTGAAAAAACTCCACAATGGCTGCTCACCAGAGTACCTGGAAGTCAAGACAGTTTCTGGCCCATAATAGCCATGGAATATTTGCCGAATGGCAATCATAGTTGTGCTTACACATATGTAATACATACAATGTTCATTAGCATTAGGACCACATCTCTGCTCACTTTCAGACTGATTAAACTCATCTCATTGTGTTTATGTAGTCCTGTAAATTAGGTTATCTATTCTCACCCTCAAAGAACAAAAACAAAAAAAAAAAGTTGTGATTAGGAAATAATAGCAGTATCTAATTCAATAACAGGAGCAACTTTTATTGAGGGCTTACTATGGGGCAGGCACACTATATGCTTCTGTAAGTTATTCCGTTTGTGCTTAGTAAATATTTCGCTTTTGCATGTCATGTAAGAGTTTTGCTGAATATTCTTCGTTCTCTCCCTCCTCTTTTTTTCCTCTTTACACCCCTTTAAAAATGTAAAAATCATTTTCAGGTAACAAGCTATACAAACGTGAATCATTGGCTTGAGGTAGACAGACTATCTCCACTTTCCAGATAAGATTAAAACTGCAGCATAGGGAAACATCTAATATATTCCTACTTATTTTATTGTAGATCTAGCACAGTTGAACGTAACTCCATAAATATAGAAAATTTCGTCTTCTTGGCTCACTGCTCCTTCTCCAGTGCCCAGAACAGTGTGTGGAACATAGTGCATGTTCAATAAATGCGTGCTTAGCTACTCAGTCCTATCTGACTTGACCCTGCGACTCCATGGACCCGTCAGCCTCCTCTGTCCATGGGGATTCTCCCGGCAACAATACTGGAGCGGGTTGCCATGCCCTCTTCTAGGGGATCTTCCCAACCCCAGGGATCAAACCCAGGTCTTCAGCATTGCTGGCGAATTCTTCACCGTCCGAGCCACCAAGAAAGCCTACGAATATTGGAGTGGGTAGCCTATCCCTTCTCCAGGGGGTCTTCCTGACCTAGGAATTGAAACGGGGTCTCCTGCATTGCAGGCGAATTCTTTACCAGCTGAGCTACCAAGAAAGCCCTGGTCAATAAATATTTGTTGAATAAAGGAATGAATAAATAAGTGGACTTGGCAAAGTTATGCTAAAAGACTTGAATGATTGCCTCAGGAAGGCTGTGGCTGCATACCTCTGGTCACTACATTTTGCTGCTTCCCCTGGTATTAATCAGCACTGGGAGGAAGTGAATCTCTTCCAGAGAGGGAGACCCCCAAATCAAGAAGGTTTAGAAACAGGAGAGGACACACCTGCCCTCACTCAAAATGGCGACAAGGAAGCGTGCCCTTTCCGGTCACATGACCTGCCCGTTGCCGAAGGGCACCTCCCCGCGCGTGCGTGCTGCGCCGCGGCTGTGAGGCGCTGAGGGGAGAGGCGGCCGCCGCCAGCGCCGCTGTGGGGACCCGTTAGAGCGGAAGCGCAGCCGCCGCCTTCACTGTCCCGGGGCCCTAGGTTCCCGGCAGGTGGGAGACGGTAGCCATGTCGAAGCGGGTCCGGAGCAGCGAGGTGTGCGCTGACTGCAGCGGGCCGGGTGAGTCGCACCGGCCGGGCCCGCTCCCCTCAGCTCTCCTGGCCAGGACCCCTGCCCCGGGGCCGCCCCCTCGGGCCGGGCGGGTCCGGGCGGTGGAGATCTGCACCCGGTGCCCCGGGTCGCGACGAGGAGGAGCCTGGGCGGCCGTGGGGCGGGACCCGTCCCGGGCCTGTCAGAGCCGGGCGGGCAGGGGGCCGCCGCCCTCCCGTCACTCCCGTCCCTCTCTTCTTTCTCGTCCCTTCTGTCCCAGGCCGGGCGGGGAGGCGGCGGGGTCGGGGCTGCTTTCCCAACAGGAAGGGGCTTGGGCAATCCACGAGGAGGCCAATTAGAGAAATCAACTGCGAGCGTCCTCCCAGCTGCGGCCCCCAGAGGCTGCAGGTGTCACCCCCCCCTCCCCACAGCCCCCCAGACCCCCGCCCCGGGGTTGGGGGAGGCCCTGTCCGGAGTGGGCCGACGCTCGCCGCTTCCTTCCACCGAGACTCACCAGAGGAACCCCAGGGATGTGTTTTCCCCCTCTTCTCTGACATCCCGACTCCCACTCCGCCACGGACAGTCTCCCGGATGACGGGGTCTTGCAAACGCCGACCGTCACTTGAGGAAGCAATGCTTGTCTCAAGTTTTGAGATCTGAACCGGCCGAGTTCAAACTAGATTTTGCCTCTGGGTGACCTTGGGCTGGTGACTTCATTTGGCCGACTCTTGATTTCCTCATTTTTCGAGTGAGGATGATTGAGAGTACGGTGCTCAGGGGTAGAGCAGTTTGAATGAATATGCTTAGGATCGTCTCATCTAAGGTGGTTTTGGGGGTGGTGGTTTTTATTTTTCCTGTTTTTTTGTATTGTGTACAGAACCTTTACAGCCTCTTAAA